TTTTATGATTTTTTCATTCATTTCCTTTCCGTGCAAATATATAATTGGAGACTTTGAGATCACGCGCGAATCTTGCTTATTGTTAGCTCAAAACTTCCAAAATTCGAAATGTGCATTGCTAAGGCTATTCTAATTAATTAATTTTAATTAGTATCATTTTTTTCTCGATAAATAGAATCCACTTTAACAAATTATGTATTTCGAATAGTCTCAAAAATTCTAAAAATTCATCTCTTCTGCAATGACCGATTCAATTATAATGCTCGTTTAATATTATTTTATCTTGTATTACATTATATTACGTTACGTTACGCATTACACTAGAACGGAATGCGGCAAATATGCGGCTTACTGCGAGCGAGCCTTGGAGAGAACCTTGCAGAATGGTGGTAGAGAGGTGAAACCCTCGAGGATGGAAGTACTCTCGATATTAATGAAGAATCCGTACCATCATTCATTGCCACATGCCATACCGGTTCACTTTCTCAATGGCACGTATCAAGTCGTGAGTTTCGACGGTAGTACAACGATAGAGGAATTTCTGAACACCCTTAATCAAGAAATCGGCTGCAGGGACGTTCATCAATCTGGCTTCACGCTATTCAGCGATGATCCGATCGAAAAGGAACTCGAACATTTCATCGACCTGCAAGCGAAGGTTTGTAAAAATTGAAACTGTGAAATGATTAAAAAAAATTCATACTTATCACATCATTCGTAAAAATATATATTGGAATTATATATATAGTATTGGAATTTATGGAATCAAATTTGTATTTTAGCCTTCTCTACTTGAACCTGTAAAATAATGAAGAATTTTAAACAGATTATAAAAATTTTACTTCTTTATCAGCATTGATTCTTTAGGTGAATCTTCAAGATATAAACTTATGTTTTAGCTGTGCGATATTATTTCAAAATGGGAGACCGCATTACGGGAGAAGGGTTCGGGAAAATTTGAAAACACCAGAGTGATACAATTGACGTACAAATCGCGATGCTACTGGCGGCAAGCTGCTAAAATGGAAACAGACAAGGAGAGGCTCTTATTGTGTTATCAAGTGAATCAACAAGTTGTACAAGGAAAGTTTCCGTTAAATCGCGAACTCGCCTTCGAATTGGCATCGTTAATGGCACAGGTACGATTATATTAGATGCATGATTTATATGTGTGAAATACATTTTATATATTTTATATGAAATTTCAAATGTAATCATAAATATCCTTTTTTGTACTGTCTATAAAATAATTTAATGAATTCATTACTTTATACAATCTCATTTAATCAATTAATTTCATAGATCGACTTTGGAGAATACAATAATGATAAAGCACGTGGCAGCGGCCCCGGAAACAATCCGCATCATCTCGTGCTTCAAGCCTTGGATAAATTTTATCCGATACGCTATCGGACCAATATTACCACCGATCAATTGAGGTGAATAATCGATAACTCAACTAAAGTAACATTAGACACATTTATTTTTAAATAGCATATGTTCATTTTTCATATTGTAACCTTCGCTCGATTGTTTTCCTTTATCAGGGAATTGCAGGAAAAATTGCAGGAAAAGTGGATCGGTTTGAAAGGACGTAGCGTATTGGATTGCGTTCGTATATATCTCACGTGTACCAGAAAGTGGCCTTTCTTCGGAGCTACCCTGTACCAAGCAAAGGTACAATGAGGCTGTTACAGATATTACATAAGTACAGAAACGAAATAATTTTATAGACATAATATAATAATCAGATTATTCAATTATAAATGTATATATACGATTTGAGATTTTAATCTAAAACTTTTTCAGTTGAAACAAACCGATCCCGTGACCGTTTGGATAGCAGTTTGCGAGGATAGTGTAACATTACTTGAGTTACAAACAATGGCGGTCATGTGCCGTTATAATTATGCGAATATAGTGACGTTTGGTGGCTGTTTAGACGATTTTATGCTTGTTGCTTGTCCGGATGAGGGTGCGGCTGAACAGAAACTACTGTTTGCACTCTCTAAACCCAAAGTGCGTATATCATATAACATTGTGGAGAGCTTAGTAATCGAAAAAAATATTTTATCTTCGTCATATATTTACGGCATAATTGTTTCAGATTTTGGAGATAACTTTGCTGATTGCCGACTATATGAACGCATTAGGCCACGCATTACCAGGCACTCCACAAATGAATACTCTGACCCGCAACGGATCACATCGATCTATTAAATCCACTCTGAGACCTGCAACTGGTTAGTGAAAACAAAAATCTCTGTTTTCTTCATGTTACAAGAAGTGTTACAAAGAAATTATAAACTTTAATATTTTGTATTGAAAACCTTCAAATGAAATAGAAAAAATTATTGACGATCTAAATTTATATAGAATAGCTATTTCTTTGAATTTTATAAATGAGGAAGATGGCTGATTTTTTAGAATTAATTTCTTTAGTAAATAAATCAAAAAAGATAAAACTAATCGATTTTTAAGTAATTTTGTTTGTTTACAAAACATCAATGTTATGAATGTTGTTAGTAACTAATTAATTTTAATACTATTACTTTACAAGAACAGTATTTAGTGAGCTGTATCTTTACAGGTTCAAGCTGTCTTCCAACTCAACCTGATATATTGAAATCGACGCCAGATCACCAAAGACCTTAATAAAAAGGCTGGTCGTGTTAATTTTGAGAAAGACTGGGAATATATTTCTTGAATGTGTGCGGATGTGTCTGATTATGATGCATATTTTATTTTGTCGTTTGTATTATATAAAAGCAGCGTAATAGTGCAGTATTAGTATCATAATTGCGTGAAGCGCATCGTTTTTTTTCTGCGAGGCGCAATCGCAGTAACGTTTGAATCATATTTACGTTTATGTCGAATTATGCATGTAAATTAGTATCGATACTTCTATAAAACCGTATCAATGTAAATATATTTAACGATTAGCAGCGACACAGAGCTAACTATGAAGAATCGTACAGGTGGCTTAAAAGTGGTTGAAATGAAAATCGATCTGTAACACTGCCTATAATTAGTATGCGCGATTACACATCGAATAGTTTCATCCCGCGACTAAGTATCACGCTAAGATTTTTACTACCGTATTTATATACCAAAAATTAAAAGCAAAAAAAAAGACGCGTAAAATATTGCGTAAACAATGACGTACTCACGTATCACGTGTATATATTAATCAAGTTATTAAATGTTTAGAGATATATCGAATGACACAGCGATATACGTTTCTTCCCAATTTTACCGAATTATACAATCATCGCGACCTAAGCATACATGTCTCGTTACTATGTCATATAATTTGCAATATAATTTTCTCTAATTCCATTAAATAGTTTTTTCATTGCGTTTTTATTTCTATCAAAATTTCGATTTGATTAAATTTATTTTATTAAAATAAGTTTGTTCTGTTAGACACGCATACAAATTTGAACTTAATTGATATTAAGTTTGAATTGAGTTTAGATTTAATCGAGATTGTATATAAGTTGTAATTAAAAATTTAAATTTAATATTAAAATTAAATTTGTATAATAATTTTATTTTTTGTCTAAATTCGATTTTGATATATTTAGGCAAAAAACAACTTAAAAAGAAAAACTCAGTTTATTTTAACGATTAGAATATTAGTGCAAAATAGTAAATAGATCTAATAAACGGAACTATTTTACATTCCGTTTATTGGCTAGAAAGAGAGACTGATTATACTTTCTCTTATTCTTATCTTTGGATGTTCGTTTCTTTGCTTTTTACATGTGTAAAGCTACTCGCGAGAACAATTAATGAAGAGAAAAATCTGATATATCGTTATATTTTAACTTCGATAACAACTAGTCTTGTATCCGATATTTATTTAAGGTATATTTTTTTTTTTTTACAAGAACACTATTACACACAAATAGGTGTAACATTGGGAACGTAATTTACTATTTAATAATTAACATCGCGCGTTCCTGCGCATAATACGTGTGCAACATTGTGTATTAAAATATACGTAACAGTTATAGCGTGTCTATATATACATAGAGAAAGAGAAAGAAATTTTGTACTCGCGTTCGACGTGTCCTACGTAACTAGCAAACGTCTTCCTTTTAGCGATTACAAATTACGAGCGCGGCTAAAAGTAGGGCTTTCGTGCAATACGTACAAGACTTCTACAAGATTTTGTAATTTCCGAGATTATATTACACGATCCTGTCTATTTTCTTGCGAGGAGGAATAAAACGAGCTGAACAATGGATCTCAATTCGAAGGACTTTCGTAAAACATCAAAAGGATATTTCAAAGATCAATCTTTGCAGTCTCCTTTAGATTATTTACATTGTCTGGGAATGTAGACGGATTAAAATGCGCACGTATACCCGGCTTCATTTAGCACATTATGACAACGTTTGTACGAATAATTCGAACCTCAAACGATTGAGAGCAGTACAAAGATATGCAAGAACGAGAGACATTTTGTCCTTAATTTTTTATATAATATATCGTACGCGATATCAGATGTTATTGCGCGGGTGACTAGCACCTATGGTGTCATGTGACGTAGTTGAAAAAATCGTACACCGTGTACTAGACTCGCTCATTCGTGTAAATATCATAAAAACGGACTTGCGTTTCTAAAAATTAGTAGAATCAAAATAGACAGCTAGTAATTTACACAATCGAGCTCTATCTGGATCGCATTCTACCGAGCCTATCTCACATCCTACATTTATATTTATTATTTATTCATATGTGAAAAAAGATACGAGCGAAACAAATGGAAAACATTGTGTACTATTGTACAGGAGAACAAATAAACTGCACATTAATATAAGCGTAGGAACGTTAATATCGAGTGGTGAATTAATTTTTTTTGTTTTACTTGGAAAAAATTAAGCGGATAAAATGGAAGATCATAAAAGGATATCTTTGTAAAGGAAACCTTATTGACAATCTTAGAATGTATATGTGAGGAGAGAACTTACTATAAATAAGAAAAGCCACCATAAAAATTCTTAGTGGCATGTATTTCTCAATATTTATAATAATTTCTACATGCACAAATATGTTTCATATGATTTACTCATTAGTTTATTTTTCGATCTGTTTCGCGCAATCAGAGAGACAAGAAGTTTGAACGATATTCATCCTGCATTACACATAGAAACTATTGAAATTTCAGTCTACCTCTTCTGGTCTCACAGGATGTGTTAATGGAATCATAGATTTCTTTTTAACATCTCTCGACAGTGCTTTCCTCATGTCTAAAACCAATATCATCTCTATTAATCTCACATACATAAAGATCTAGCATCTTAGATTCCTCAAAATAAATCTCTACCATATGCATCTTCATCCGGATCCCCATTATAGTACTCTAATACTGTTCTGTACACGATGTATCCCAATTGTTGATACATGGTAATTGCAACTTTATTACTCACTCTAACAAATAGATCCACGAAATAGGCCTGTTTCCTGATTTGCATAAAAAGATTGATCAAACAAATGATAGCATAATAATAATAAAAATAATATTAAAATTATTTATCTATGTTTAAATGACAATTTAAGTAAAGTAAACTATTGCTCACTTTTCCGATACTTCCTCAAGAAACTTCATTAGCATCGCAGCAAGACCCAGTCTTCTGTAATCAGGAGAGACCGTGAGGGCTGTTACATGACCATGCCAATTTTCTCCATGACCTTCCGCTTTCCCCATGACTTTGATGGTTTCCGAATAATAATGCTAATTTTAGATCACACGAGAGAATTACGCATTGTTGTAAGAACATGCTGGAACTGAGTATACTTACTGTAACCCATAATTTCACCGCTCGGAGACTCCGCTACCTGAATGTATTCTGGCCAATGTGCAAGATAATGCATATAAAACGAAAGGCCATACTGAATAGAAATGTGAAAAATGAGCAAGTATAGATTGAAACTTTCCAAATTATTTCAATAAAACAAAATGTTGTAATATGGAAATTACTTTTCTATTTTTTAAGCCATTAATGGCCAATATTCTATTCTCAATATGAAGTATTATCGAGAATAAAAAATGATGTTAATATAAATATAAATAATCTTT